CCCCAAAACCCCAAAACCCCAAAACCCCAAAACCCCAAAACCCCTTAAGATGAATAAAATATTGATTATAAACTAAGCTTAGTGAAAGCAATTGCTTTCAGCTTGTTCTTTATCATAACATCTAACTGCTTTAAGGCGAGACATTTCTCAAGGAGGCTCTCTGTTCGCTCTCATTTCCACTGACGAAAGGCGCCTCTAAGTCTACAAAGCTTGTATTTTTGGCATAAGGGGATTAAGGTAGCTGCTCTTTCTTGATTCTTAATATCCCTGTTTTCTTTCAAACATATGAACCCTTTTTCAAGGAAATATTTATACTTGAAAACAAGACCAAGGCACACCTGATTAATGGTCTCCTGCTTGTTTTGGAGGTTCCTTGGAGAAACCATATTCTTTGCGAGTTGAGTACTGTGGGGTCTTGTTGATACAGAAGGATTTTTATGATGGCATTTTCCACTTTTGAAGCTCTTCGAAGGCTCAGGTCGAGCAATTTTGACAATATTAACTTGTTCGTTGTGCTTTTGTTCTAAATTAGTCGACTTCTTCTTTGATTTACCACATCTGTTACAACTCTTCCTTCCAGATTTTTCTCTTTTAAAGGCTTGTTTAATCTCTTTTTCAAGGGATTCAAACGATTTCTTATCATCAAGGCTAGATTTTGACCTCTGCTGATATCTCTGATTGCCTGGATCCTTTCCGCAAGTTTGAGGGATGTTCTTACTGAACTTGTTTAAGCTCTTGTTCACCCACCTCGAAAGCTCCAGCATGAAAGATCTTATATGAACTGTATCAATGGCTTTTTCAAGCTTGGTAAATCCTTTCTTGATCTTTTCTGAAATGCGGAACTTATCCCGTTCTGCTTTATAGACAGTGTTGATGACCGGTTCGGTAGATTTACTCCTTCATAAATTCTGGTTTGATTTAATACAGGCAGCTTTAAGCTTTATTTCAGTTGCCATTATCATCTTTTTGAGGTTTACAACCTTTTTGGACATCTTTTCGATTTGTTCATCCTCTCTTATTGAATTTACCAAGGATTGGTCGAAAGTGCCTGAATTGTGAGGAACTAAGCCCATACCTGCAAACTTGTCAACATGATTTCTGGAAGTATTTGGCTTATACTTATCCCATAAGACAGGGGTGTTCACTATTTGTTAAAATAATAACTTACTTGAGGCAGAGGGGTGAAATCCTTGATCTGGTTCAGGAGTTATTCTTGGTACTTCTTGTAGCCTCTTGTTGTAGTCAAGTTTTAACTCAACTACATTAACATAAGATTTTCTGTCCTCTTTGAGATATTTCATTTTGCTATTAATTGCTTTCCTTCTGCTGACAACTTCAGGAGAGGTATCCGCTACACTAACTCTTGAAGTTTTAGCTAAATTTTCTTTCTGTGTCTTCCTTTTAGTATTTTTCTGCTTAATTTCAATATTATGTTTGGCATCAAGATATTCGTCCATAAAACGTTGTTGGAAAATTTCCGGTTCTCTGGTCAATCTGGCAGTCTGGCTTCCCGAAGGGAAGCCAATTTCCTTGGTATATCCAGAATTGACTTTATTTCGATCAACGATTCTCTTCTTCCTATTCTGATCCCAGGAGTCAATAATAGTGTTTCGCTTATAACTTCTCGAGCTGCCTTCAAGGTTAACAATGGAGTCATCAGAGCTTTCTCTGATGAAGCCTGGGAAATCCTTCAAGACCTTAAAGTTATGATATTGCACAAGCTTGATTTTCTCTGAGATTTTGCTGGCAATCTTCTTTATAGCTACGTTTCTATTGCTTCTCTGACGGAAGCCTAGAGTTTCCGTGAGCAGCCTCTCTGGGAACTGGCGTTCCCAGAGAGCAGCTCTGAGAGAGATTTGGAGCTGCTCCTCGGACTTATGTCAGGCCTTCTGTAGAAACTTTTGTTATTTTGAGTGGATTCTGAGGGAAATTTGGGATTTTTGAGCTTTTTATGGACCAAAGTTTGATTTGGAGTGAACTTGTTCTCTTTGTTATCAAAATCAATGGGTGAACCGAAGGAGTAATCGTGCTTGTGAGCATGACTCTGTCGTGATAGCTCATCTTTAGTCAGATTGAGGTTGATTGTGGGTTTTGAGCGATTATCGAATGTCTTGTGGTCGAGATTTTTACGAACTCGTGTTCTTTTTAATTTAAAATTTCCTCTAAAAGTTCATTTTAGTAAGGATTTAAGGGTGAAATATGACTGAGAAAGTCTTTAAAGGTAAACTTACCCGTAAATGTTGGAATTTATATTCTCTTTGTTGAATTTTGTCCTGGATGAGGGTCTGATATGGAGATTATGGGACATTTTTATGGCACTAAATTTAAATATAATCTGTTAAATTCAAATTTATTATAAGTAATCGGGGTTTTGGGGTTTTGGGGTTTTGGGGTTTTGGGG